TCAAGCCACAGGGTCTGAAACTCAAACCGTGGCTGCCATGTGGGAGCCCAGCACCTTAACCACCATGCCACCCTGCTGGTCCCCAAGCCTTATCTTGGTCTGTATCTCCCCCCTACCAAGTTGAGAGGACCTTCCAGGAATTGAGGCCCTGGGCTCAGCCCTCTCTGGGTGCCAGCCAGGAGGTGTAACTGAGTAAGTAAATGAATGAATGAGTGAGCAATTGGAGGGAGTTCATTAATTTCTTTCTTTCTTTTCTTTCTTTCTTTCTTTCTTTTTTTTTTTTTTTTTGAGAAGTTTTTTGCTATAGGGCGCGTGCTCTCACCAGAAAGACAGCCAGAGACAGAAAGTGAGAAATCATACCCCAGGAGGGATGGCCACACCACAATCCCTTCTCCTCCATTCTCTCAGGATCTTGGGCACACACGCACACGTGCCTGGCATGAGTTTAAGCCACCAGGTCCGGGACTTGAACCACGGTTGGCTACATGGGAGTCCAGCGACATAGCCATTACGCCAACTGCTGGTTCCCATTCATTTCATTCATTCATTCATTCATTCATTCATTTATTCTGTAAACGTCTACTGAGTGGTTAATGTGCACCAGACAATGTGCTAGGCACCAAGGACATGACATTGATCAAAACAAACCAAATCTTTAGCTCTTGTTCAAGGAAGGGAAGGAGACAAAGAAGGCTACCCAACTCTACACCCCCAGTCCCTTCTTCCCTAGGCCTCACACTGTCCCCTACAACATGCAGGTAATATGACAGTGCTTTGGTGTCCACACCCCCAGCTCCAAGGGTTGACTTGGGACCCTCATCAGAGGTCACGCATAGCATCTTGGGGCACGTAACTGGGCTCTAGAACCACGGGGTCTGGCAGAACTCTGTGGATGATCTGTCACTGCATCTTTCTGAGAGAGAGGGAGGCACCCCCAACAGGGTCTTCACACCGTAATCCACTCATAGCCTCAAACAGCCAGGATCATTCCAGGCTGTCTCTGGACATAAACTTGGAGCCTCCCCCTGTGGGTCAGCCTTGCAGAGTGTTGTTTTACATCACTGTACCGTCACCTGGTCCCACATCACTGTGCCTTAACAAAGGCAGCTCCACTCTTTCTTGTAAATAGAAGAGTTCCTTGGCTCACTGTCCCAGGTGTTTAAAAAAAAATTATAGGAAGCCACTGTTTTGGACTAAGCTTCTGCACTAGACCCCCACGGATCAAATCAAAATGGAGCCACTTATGCTAAAATGCCTTATCAAATCGAACCTTTAAGGAAGCTGATAGATCCCAAAATAGAGCAGTTTTTCTTGAAAACAGGAGATTCCAGTCTACCAGGGCTACAAGGAAATAAAACTCATGCATCTCTTTTTTTTTTCTTGGAGGAGAGATTTTTGCTATAGGGCGCATGTGCTTGCCAGACAGACAGAGACAGAGAGACAGAAAGCGAGAAATCACCCCCCAGGGGGGATGATCCTTATTCCCTTCAATCCCTTCTCCTCTCGGGATCTTGGGCATGCATGCACACGTGCCCAGCGTGAGTTTAAGCCTCCGGGTCTGGGACTTGAACAGTGGTTTGATACATGAGAGTCCAGCACCCCCTGAGGGGATGATCCTTTCTCCCTTCAATCCCTTCTCCTCCATTCTCCCCTCTGAACTTGAGAAATGCACACACCACCCGGCATGCTTTTCAAGCCTGAGTCTGGGTCTTAAACCACACAGTTGGCCATGTGGGATCCATTTGCCTTAACCACTATGCCAAGTAGCTGGCCCCCTTTCTTATTTCTAAAAAAGCCACTCTTTAACATTTTTGAATGCCTTATGTTAATTTAGAATATTTATCCTTTTTTTTTTTGAGAGGTTTTTGCTATAGGGCGCATGTGCTTGCCAGACAGACAGAGACAGAGAGACAGAAAGCGAGAAATCACCCCCCAGAGGAGATGGCCACGCCGCAATCCCTTCTCCTCCATTCTCCTCTCGGGATCTTGGGCATGCACGCACACGCGCCTGGCGTGAGTTTAAGCCACCGGGTCCGGGACTCGAACCACGGTCGACTACGTGGTAGTCCAGCGACATAGCCATTATGCTAATTGCTGATCCCTAGAATATTTATTCTTATAAACCTTCACTCTTTCTTCTTTTCCTTTCACTCTGAAATGGTTCTTCCTGTGTTACAACACCTAGGACCCCCAAATAAAGCTTGTTATTTATTATTTTAAAATAATTATTTTATTTAGCTTTATTTATTTTAAAGAATTATTTTATTTAACTTTATTTATTTATTTATTTATTTAAATTTGACCAAAGAGGGACAGGGCAAGAGAGAAAGCAAGAAAGCAAGGCACCAGGTCTAGGACTTGAACTGTAGTCGGTCATGTGGAAGTCCAGCATCCTTAAGCACCAAGCCACCTGTTGGCCCCTATTTATTTATTTTTAAATTTGACCAGAGAGGGACAGAGAGAGAAAGAAAAAGAAAGAGAGAGGGAAAGTGAGAAAGCAAGCTGCCAGGTCTGGGACTGAAACTATGATTGGCCATGTAGGATTCCAGCAATCTTAACCACCATGCCACCTGGTGGCCCCCTATTTATTTATTTTTAATTTGGTATGGGGCGTGTGTGCTGGGGGGGAGGTAAAGTGGGGAGGAAATGAGAAAGCACACACACCCTCCCTCTGGGGGATGGCCACACTGCAATCCCTTCTCCTTTGTTCTCCTCTCAAGGTTTTGGGTATGCACATGTGCCCAGTATTTCTCGAGCTGCCACATCTGGGGCTTGAACCAAGAACACAACCCTGTGAAAGCCAGTCGCCTTAACCACAATCCCACTGACCCTTAAAAGCTGTTTTTTGTTTGCTATAGGGTGCGTGTACTCAGGAGAGAGTGAGACAGAGAGCAGGAAAGTGAGAAATCCCCCCTGAGGTGGGATGACCACAGTGCCATCCTCCTCTGATCTCTCAGTTTTTGAGCATGCACACACATGCGTCCAGTGTGTTTTTCAAACCACTGGGCCCAGGACTCAAACCACACAGTCAGCTATGTGGGATACAGCTGCCTTAACTTCTACACCATCTGCAGGCCCTAATGTTTTATTCTTTACAGTGTCAGTTTTAAAATTCATTGATGGGGGGGGGGTGGACAGACACTCTGGGAAGATTCCTAGTGAAGAAATGAGGTAGTTAGCATGCAAATGAATGCATCTCAGAATCAGAGCCCTCCTCTCTCCCTTCTCCATGGAACTCTAGAAAGCCAGCTTTCACTCCCTTCTGTTTTGGGTGCCAGTTCCCAGCCTGAGGATTTTGAAGATTCTCAGCCCAAGGACCCACTTAGAATTGAGTCAGCAATAACTTAGAATTGCTAATGCTGGGACTGGCAGGTGGTGTGGAAGTTAAGGGTGCTGGACTCCCTCCCACATGGTCAACAATGGTTTGAGTCCCGGACCTGGCGGTTTGCTCTCTCTTTGAAAAATAATTTTTTTTTTTTTAGAGATTTTTGCTAAGGGCACGTGTGCTCACCAGATAAGACAGAGAGACAGAAAGCAAGAAATCACCTCCCAGGGGGGATGACCAGGCCACAATCCCTTCTCCTCCATTCTCCTCTTGGGATCTTGGGCACGCATGCACACGCACCCGGCGTGAGTTGAAGCCACCGGGTCCGGGACTTGAACCGTGGTTGACCACATGGGAGTCCGGTGACATAGCAATTATGCCAACTGCTGGTCTCGTATAAATAAATAATCCTTAAAAAAAAAAAAATAGAATTGTTAATACCACTGATTAGCCCCGGACCTCACAGCCTCATGGGCTCTGGTCTTGATCTGTGACCCTGCACTCTCCTGTTTAAAACCTGATAATTAGGGACCAGCAGGTGGTGTGGTGATTAAAGTGCTGGAGTCCCACCTGGTCAACCATGGTTCAAGTCCTGAACTGATTGGCCACAAGGGAGTCCAGCAACATAACCGCTACCTCAACAACTATGCTACCTGCTGGCTCTACAAATTTAAAATTTTTTTTCTATAGGGTGCATATGTTACCAGATGGGGGACTTGAACCACAAAGTTGGCCATGTGGAATTCAGCTGCCTTAATTTCCACACCACTTACTAGCCTGATCATCAAATTGTTAAGAAATTTATGTATTGAGACTAGCAGATTACATAATGGTTACATAGCTGGACTCCCAGAGTTGACCATGGTTCGAGTCCCGGACCCAGTGGCTTAAAATTCATGCCAGGTGTGTGTGCATGTGTGCCCAACATCCCAAGGGGAAGAAGGGATTGCAGCGTGGCCTTCCCTCCTGGGGGGTGGTGGTGGTGATCTCTCACTTTCTGTCTCTCTGGCAAGTGCATGCCCTTGACCTTGCACGTGCACGTACTGGACTTGAGCATGTGCATGGTTGAGGTGCTCAACTCCCACATGGCCGACCACAGTTTCATTCTCAGACCCTGTAGCTTGAAAAACATGTCAGGCACATGTGCATACATGCCCAAGTCCCAAGAGGAGAATGGAGAAGGGTTTGTGGTATGGCCATCCCCCCGTGGGGTGATTTCTCACTGTTCCTCTCTCTGTCTTTCTCTAGGGAACACACGAGCAATATGGCAAAAAGAAAAAAAAAAAAAAGATCCATTTTTGTTCGGTCAATAAACACCCATCAAACCTGATCTATACCTGGTCTACAGTCTTGTCCTGAGCAAACGGACACCCCCGGTGTGGCTGAGGCAGATGCCGAGCAGGAACAGGTACGGCAGGTGCGCAGGGGGCTGCAGAGGTCGTACCAGAGGTCGGTGAAGCAGGGAAGACTTTTTGAAGGAGGCAGCTCTTGAGCTGGTTCCCCACAGGGCAGATTGTCACTGGCCACTTAGGACCCGTCTCCTCCAGGACAGATCCATCTCTATCCCTAGAATTGCCCAGAACAGGTTGGGCCAAGAGCCTCTTTTGAATAAATTAAAAAGTGTAGGATGGGGCAGAGAGGCAGGTAGTGGAAGGAGGAAAGCTTGAAGGCCTGAGCAGCCCGAGCTCTAGGGGTCTGCCCTCCTCCCAAACCTGGCTTCCCCTTCAAGGTTTCTCTGGCCCCGCCCCTCCTGCTTGATCTGCACAGCTTCCTGCCTCCGGAGCCCACTCCCGGCCACACCACCATGGCACCAACTACTCACCTTTCCTGCCTCCTGACTCTGTTGGCTATAGACCTAGCCCAAGGCCTCAGGGGTTTCCTTGGGGCCCAGGTAAGTGCTCCCCACTTGTTCCCCATTCCTGTTCCTCTGCTAGCCCATGCCTGGGGTCTTCTCTTTGGAGTAACTGGCCTGCCATTCCCATTTCTCAGAGGGAGCAATTGAGGCTGGAGAGGTGGTTGACATGCCCAAGTCCACACTTAAGAGACAGAGAAGGCTAACTAGCTGAGCCCCCTAGCCCAGTTCTTTCCTTTCTGGGAGCAAAGGGGGTTCAGCAATGATCTCTCCACCCACTTCCCACTCTTGGCCGTTGGTTTCTTGCCAGGACCCAGGTCCCCGGCCACTGGAGCTGAAAGAAGTCTTTGCGTTGTTCCAGATCCAGTACAACCGGAGTTACTCCAGCCCAGCAGGTATCAGCCCTCCCCTGGGTAACAGATGAAGAAATCCAGGCTCAGCACAGAATAAGCTTGGCCAAAAACCACTCAGCAGGACAGTGGTAGGGCCGAGGACAAACTCCCTGGTCTCCAGAAAGCATTAATATGTGCAGGATCCTTCTTTGCTATGACCCTGCAGGGCAGACGGCAGTGTTGGGGGTCTTCTCAGGTGCTAAGGCCCCCCAGCTCCATAGCCACTCCCCGGAGTTTCCAGGCAGTGGGTAGGGCCCAACCTCTTGTCATGTGTCCCTCAGCAAACACTCAAAGATACCCCTTTTGTCCCAAGCTGGAGGTTCCCTTCTTACCCCCATGAGCTGCCAGGTCTGCTTTTCCCTCTGTGGGTCTCTCTGCCCTAGGGCTGGTATGTGAGTACCTTTCATACCAGGCTACCTGTGATTTAGGCCTGTGCCCCATCCTCCCCCACCCTGACATGTTCCAGCTCTGGACTGTGGTCAGAGGTGTGACAGGAGGTGCTGTGACAGGAAGTCAGTCCCCAACCACCTACCCTTTTATTATTTTTTTCTTTGCATTTGCTAGAGAGAGACCCACAGAGAGAAAGTGAGAAAGGACCCCCTGCATGGTCATGCTGCAATCCCTTCTCTATTTCTCCCTTTTTGGTATTTTGAGCACACACGCACGCATGCCTAGCATGTTTCTCAGGTCACTGGATCCAGGACTTGAACCAAGCAGAGAGCCTTGCGGGATCCACTTGACTTAACCACATGCCACAGGCTGGTCCCACCCACCTTTTTCTTTTGAGTCACTCTTCCTCCAGACCCCTTGCTTAACTTTCCCCAGGGTGGGCAGAGACACCCCTCGCTGGGGAAAACCCAACCCAAGGTGGGCTGAGTAACCACTTCCTTGGCTCAGGTTCTGCAGTGGGGGCCTGCCATGGGGGTTACAGGAAAGAAACCAGTGCTTACCTGGAAGGTGTGGGTGGGAAGATGCCCATCCAGTGGCAACTTCCTGCCCCTGGGAGCTTGGGAACCAGCATGGGCAACTCATTTTGGTCCAGAGCATGCTCGCCGCCTAGATATCTTTGCCCACAACCTGGCCCAGGCTCAGCGGCTGCAGGAGGAGGACTTGGGCACAGCCGAGTTTGGAGTGACTCCATTCAGTGATCTTACAGGTACAAGGTCTTCGTGGGCCATAGGTGGGGGTGGGGAAGCAGCCTCCTCTGGAGACACTGGCAGATGGACAGGGCAGACCTTCCACCTCATTTCCCAGGGAGGGGCCCTAAGGACCAGGGCCTGGGTGCTTGCCTGTCAAAGCGTGCAGAGGCAGGGACTCTACAGGCTGTGATCTGGTCCAGTTCAGGGTTCCCAGGCAGCAGGTGCAGGGGAAAGCAACCCAGCGAGTAGCTTGGCCTCCTCTGGGTCTCAGGACTCTTGCCTGTCTGCCTCCTGGGCTACTATGGGGGCCCAAATACCAAGGATGTAGATGGCTAGACTAGGGGAGGCAGAATATGGAAGGGAAGGGCTTACAACCCTGGCCTCAGTGCCCCTTTCTGCCCCCCAGATGAAGAGTTTAGCCAGGTTTACAAACAACCAAAGGTGCCTGGAGAGGTCCCCCGAATGGTCAGAAAGGTAAGGTCTCTCAAGCAGGGAAAGCCAGTGCCCCCTACCTGTGACTGGAGGAAGGCCCGTATCATCTCGCCCATCAGGAACCAGGTATCAACCATTACCCAGCCTGGCCCAATCTCACCCCGGTGGTAGAACCAGAGACCACAAGGCCTGGACGTTCACCCTGTCCCCACTCTCATCCACTAGAAAAACTGCAGTTGTTGCTGGGCCATGGCAGCAGCGGACAACATCGAGGCCCAGTGGGGCATCAGATACAATCAGTCCGTGAAAGTCTCTGTGCAGGGTATGGCTAGGGGAGCATGCACGTGTGTGTGTGTGTATGACAGGGTGGGGAGGAGTGGGGGCCCAGTATACGGCTGGAGGAGTGTGTGTGTGCATGTGTAACAGGGAAGGGAGGAATAGGGGCCAGTCACCCACACTGTCCCTTCTTGCACCAGAGCTGCTGGATTGTGGCCGCTGTGGGGATGGCTGCAAAGGTGGCTGGGTCTGGGATGCGTTCATAACTGTCCTCAACAACAGTGAGTACCCACCTCTCTGGGCAGGCGCAGGGTCGGGTATGATCAGGAGCAGGCTCCTCCATGTCTCACCTATCTCCAGGCGGTCTGGCCAGTGAAAAAGACTACCCATACCAGAGTAACGTCGACCCCCAGAGGTGCCGGGTCAAGCGCAACAAGGTGGCCTGGATCCAGGATTTCATCATGCTGCAGGACAACGAGCAGAGTGCGATTTGGGGATCAGGGACAGACAGACCAGGGCAGAGGCAGACATGCCAGGCTATACACAGAGACGGCCGGAAGGGAGGGGTGGGAGGGAAAGGAAGGGAGGGGAGGCAGGTGGGGCCTGACGATATCTTCCATTCCCAGTAATTGCCCAGTACCTGGCCAGCCATGGCCCCATCACTGTGACCATCAACATGAAGCCACTGAAGGTGGGACAGGGCAGGGCATGGGAGAAGAGGTTAAGTATTATAGTAGTAGTCCCACCCAGACTCAGTCTGTGTTCCCTGCAGCAATACCGAAAGGGTGTGTTTGAAGCCACACCTGCCACCTGTGATCCCTGGCTTGTGGATCACTCTGTCCTGCTGGTGGGTTTTGGCTCAAGCAAATCAGTGAAGGGGATGCGAGCAGGGACAGCCTCATCCAAACCATACTGGATTCTGAAGAACTCCTGGGGGGCCAAGTGGGGCGAGAAGGTGAGTGTGAGCGACTCCGGGGGAGACAGGGTAGAGTAGGCCTTCCTATCTTCCGGCCCTAATGGCCCCCACTTCCTAGGGTTATTTCCGGTTGCACCGAGGAAGCAATACCTGTGGCATCGCCAAGTACCCACTCACCGCCCGTGTGGAGCTCCCAGATCAGAGGCACCCAGTCCACTGCCCTCCCTGAACCCTCCTGCTGTGCCAGCTGCCTCCTTGCCAGCCTCACTCCGAGGTTTGTGCCCGTTCTCCCAATCTTCTTAATGTGGCTTCAATAAAACCAGATAAAGACTTCTGGCTTCTGTGCAAACCCAGCCAGGGTGGGGAGGTGGTGGCTGGGTATAGACGCTATTCTGACACATCTCAGCCCCAAGCAGTCAACACATGAGGCATATGGAAGTCAGAGATGGACACGTTCACATCTGCACACGCCCCCTCCAGGAGCTGCCCCTGGACCAAGAACCAGTCTCCAAATTCATGGCAACTTTATTGTCAGTGCGGGCAGGGTGGCAGGTGAGGGGCCTCAGTCATGATAGAGGCGCAGGAGGCAGCCACGGAGGGTGCCCATGTAGCGGTCCCAGAGGGCCTGGTGCCTGTAACAACAGGGTCAGAGACAGCTGACGTTTACTCAATACTAACGTCTGACACCGCTCTATGTGCCTAAGACAGTGCTTTATGTACCGATTTCATTTAGTCCCTCACCCCCAAAGTCTTATGGTTCCAATTATTAGTCCCAGTCTACGTTAGAGGAAACTGAGGCACGGGCAGATTAAGTAACCTGCCCAAAGTCATATAGGTTCGGAGAGGTGAAGTCAGGCTTTGATTCACAGGCAATTCTATCCCCAGAGCAAGCAACGCAGGAATCCCGAGTCTGTAGGAGGCCTAGGCCCTGGTAGGTGTCTGGGCTGGGGGCTCTCACCGGAACCCATCCAGAGAGTGGACAGATGCTGAGTACTGGTTCAGGAAGAGCCGCACATCACTTAGTGGCCAGTGGTCGGAGCGACAGGGTTCCACAAACTGAGGGCCAAAGGAATGCTTAGAACCAGTACAGCCCGGGGACACGTGAGGTCGGGGGTCAGGACAGCTCACCTTCTCTACGAGGTCCACAAACAGGTCTCTGACATCCTTGTTGTGAGTCAGCTTGGCAGCTACATTCACCAGTCCCCGGGACAGGTTCTGTGGGGCAGGGATCCTGGGAGTTCTGCCTTCTGCCCCAGAGGCTGGGGGCTGAGCATAGAGGCCAGGGGAGGGGCAGGCCCTCCCCAAATCTATCCACCTCCCTCAATCAACCAGGTCCCCACTGTTTGTGAGTTGGTTCCCTGTCACAAGCGGGCAGGGGGCAGCAGTGCCACCTGCTGGTCAACAGTGGACAGGAGCAGAGTTGTCAGGTAGGGGTAGTGCATGAAGGCTGAAGATGCTCAAGGGAGACAGAGGCTGGATGGGGCCACAGACCTTGAAGTTGGCTTCCATCTCAGAGAAGACGCCAAGTTTCCCCCGGAGGGCGGTGCACACTAGGCTGTAGGGAGACGGGGTCATGCCTCGAGCCACCTGAGCCCCACTTTAGACCCTGATTCACAGACCCCTCCTGCCTGGTTACCTCTTGTGCAGGTCCAGAAGGTCCTTGTCAGCTACTAGTACTTTGAGCTCCTTCAGGTCCTGGAGAAACTCCTTGTCTAAATCCATGTCCATGTCATCCACCTGGGAGTCTGCATGAGGCCCACGAAGGGAGTTGGGGTGGGTGATAAAGACCCCTTCCAAAGAGCCTGAGCCTTCCTCACCCGCCGTCTCATTGCACCTCACAGGACAGAAAACGTCTTAGGTAAAGTGACATGTCCTGGGGCCCTCTGTCTGCAGTGTGGGGCTAACAAACTATTAGCAGAGGTGGCATGGGTGGGGGCCCTGAAGAAAGAATGATGGGAACGGGGGTGCCTACGGGAGAAACTACTCATGGGACCAGGCCCTGAGAGGCTGGTGAGGCGTCCAGGCACCTGGCTCAGTGGGGGCCTCACCCACAGCTCCAAGGGTCCAGTTCTGGATCATGAGCTCAGCACAGAAGGCAAAGTCACCAAAGCTCAGATACTGCAGCTTTTTCTTCCCTGTCTCAAAACGGTTGTTGGCAAAGAAGACGATGGCTGCATAGTCCCTGCAGGGAGAAGGGTGGGTCCTCTGAGCGCTTCGCATTCCTCCCTTTTTTATAACAGCAAATTTTGCTATAAGGCGCATGCGCTCGCCAGAGAGAGATAAAGTGAGAAATCATCCCCTCATCCCCCAACGATGGCCATCCCACAATCCCTTCTCCTCCATTCTCCTCTTGGGATTTAGAGCATCCAAGCACACACACCCAGCATGTTTTAAGCCGCCGGGTCCAGGACTTGAACCACAATCGACTACATGGGAATCCAATGACGTAACCATTATGACATCTGCTGATCCCTCACATTTCTTCTTAATGAGCAGATCCTACCTAAAACCTCAACTGGGCAGCTAAGGTTTGACCTCTCCCTGCCCTCATTGTGCGACCTAACACACTTCTCTGTGGGCCCCCACATCCATGCAAAGAGAAGGGTTCAACTCAGCTTCCCAAGGGATACCGTGGGAGACCACAAGGGGGACAGCTGTTATTCACTGAGCATTTCCTAAGTGTAGGGGGCTGCATTCGGTATATATAAGTGGCAGCTCACAGCAGCCTAGCTGAAAATGCCTGGGCTGGGATTTGAACCCAGGTTATTCAGATCCAAAATACAAACCAGAAGTGAGATAACTACCTCTGCAGCCTAGCTAGGAGGTCAAAGCGGTTGAGGTAAGGAATGTCCCCACAGGGCCCAGGGAAGGAGTGTGCAGCGGGGAGAGGGCTGGCTCACCTGGCCAACCTGTCAGAGAGGAGGAAGTGTTGCTGGATGTTGTCCACGAGTGAGCCCCGCATCTCCTCCACTACCTTGAAGACCCGCTTAAAGTTGTCAAACTGCAGAGTAGTTAGGGAAGGAGGGAAACTGGTCAGAGCACTCACTCATATCCCTCTCTCATCTATCTATATACCCAGAGGCTGACTTAGCATCTGTTATTCCTTCGGGATACTAGTTATTAGTACTTGTTATCAATTGACCAAATATTTATCAGTTTATGCCATTGTGACCTGGATAAATGTTTACTCCTTTCTCTCAATTCCATCCCCTATTTTTTTTTTTTTTTTGGAGAGGTTTTTGCTATAGGGCGCGTGTGCTTGCCAGACAGACAGAGAGAGACAGAGAGATAGAAAGCGAGAAATCACCCCCCAGGGGGGATGGCCATGCCACAATCCCTTCTCCTCCATTCTCCTCTCGGGATCTTGGGCACACATGCACATGTGCCCAGTATGAGTTTAAGCCACCAGGTCTGGGACTCGAACTGCAGTCAACATGGGAGTCCAGTGACATAGCCATTACGCCAACTGCTGGTCCCTCAATTCCATCCCATTTTAGCAGTATGTTCTCTGGTCCTCAGGAGCCTTCCTGAAGCTTGAGCTGGAAGTGACTCTTGGCTAAACCCCAAGAACTCAAAACTGAACAAACGCTAAGCTGTACATAGGAGTTCACAGGAGACACAGGAAAGACATCAAAGGTCCAGGTTACTTTTTCCCTGGCACCACTAAAAATGCTTATGAAGAAGGTGGCATCTGATCTCCTGCCTTGGATGTCAAGGGGTAGATATGACCAACAATAACATGAGCCAAAGAAAGTCTGGGCTGGAGACTGTAAGCCTACAGAGGTCTGCAGGTCACAGAAGACTGTAAAGGTCAAGGCCCAGGAGTGTAGCCACTACCCAGGGGCAGTAAGAGTCCATGCAAATTTATGAGCAGGGGAAAGCCATGATCAGATCTGGGTTTCTAAAAAGTCACTCTGATCAGAGTAGGGGATGGCTTAGAAAGGCCAAAAGACAAGGAAAAGACTAGGTCTGGAGCTGCTGTCACAGTCAGAAAGCAGAGCTGGGGCAGTGGGCAAAGGGTTGGAGTGAAGAGGTGGACTGCCGATGAGATGTTTTGCACGGGTGGGTGGAGCGCCCACCTGTCTCCGGCAGCTCTTGAGGGTGATGCTTGTTTTAGTGCTGATGTCGTCCAGGTCCTTCTTGGTGCCCTTGGACAGCTTCTTGCCCAGGACTTCTCGAACAAAGGCTTCATCAAACGCGTAGTACCTTGTAGAGGTAGAGGGACCACTGACCCTCCATAAAGAAGGGAAAAGGGGGCCTGACTAGGCCTGGGTTTGGCCTTCTCTACTCTCAACTTTCTGAGTGTCTAAGTCAGTCCCAGCCCTCCCTAGGCCTTAGTTTGGGCCTGCAAAATGGGTACAGAACCAGCCGGGTTGGCGTTCCCACCATCCCACCAGCTGAACACCTCTCGATGAGCAGTGCCTGCCGGGAGGGCGGGATCTGGAAGATAAGCTGGTGCAGCAGCTTGGGTGGCGCGTGCAGCAGGCGCTCGAGCATATGGAAGGTGCGGTAGTGGTCCATGGTGTCACTCTGAAGCACTGCTGCAGTGGCGCCGGTCTGCTCCAGGATTCCTGAGCGCACCCTCAGGGCCACCGCGTCGCTAACTGGGAAGTGGGTGCGAGCATCAGGCCCTGCTCCGCCAATCCCAGACACACTCCAGGGACTCCAGCCCCTACCCCTATGCACCCCTTATTCCCAGCCTCCTGCTCACTTCCCTAAAGATGCCTAAGTCCTGGCTCCGCCGACTCTCCCATCCAAAACCACCGCTCCGCCCGACCGGCTCCCTAGACGCCCCCTTACTGACCCGAGTAACCATCCAGCCACAGGCGATACACGTCCTCGTCGATAAGGGTCGTGTTTCCCACGAAGATGTCCAGCTCGCTGGTCATGGCGACGCCCACGCCTGGGCGCAGAACAGAATCCAGAAAGGAGCGAGCACTGCCCGGGCCGGGCGTGCCGCCCCTGGGCCGCTGGCCGCTCACTTCCGGGAGCACAGAGATTCTGCTCCGGGCACCCGAATCCAGCGAAGGACCACTTCCGGGACAGCCAGTAGGGGCGGGGCCAGAAGGGAGGAGGCGGAGACGTGGGTTGTGGGGTAGCCCCTCCTCCGCTGGGAGGGGAAGCCGGGGCTCCTGAGACCTCTGTACACGGTTCTTTCGCCCTCCACCGCCTTCGCTGGAGGGCGTTGGGAATTCCTCCGTCCAGTCACCCCTGCCTCGGCAGTCTCGCCCCTCACTTCCTCCCGGTTTCTCTCCCACATTCTCTGCGCTTGCTCTTCCGGGCCTTTCAACTTTGACCTGTATGCTAAACGCAGGGGTTTCACAGGTCTCTATCCTGTCTCGGTAGAAGGGATGTCGGGCCTGACTTCCAAGGGTTCATCCTGGGGACCCCTCTATCAATTCTGTGGATGAGCGCCTCTCCTGGACAAGAGGCACCTGTTCCCACGGTGGGTTTAACCACACACTCCCACGCCCAAACGAACTAATGACCTCTCTTTTCATTACCCCTCCCTCAAGTTCTGCCTAGAAGCTGGAGAGTCGCCAAGTCTCCACATTGTCTTCCCATAGCCCCTCAAAAGCCCAATATGGGGGCCGGCAGGTGACGTGGTGGTTAAAGGCGCTGAATTCCCCACATGAAGGACTACAGTTTGAGTCATGGACCTGGCGACTTGCTTTCTAATTTTCCCTTTCTCTCTCTGTCTGGTCAAATTAAAAAATGATAATAATAAATGGAATTAATTAAATAAATAAAATTTTTTTAAAAAGCTAATATGCGCTGGACAACCCATCTCCCTTTCCCCAGTCTTTCTTTCCTGCGTCCATATCTCAAGGACAGCCCCCAAATCCACTCAGTTCTCAAACTAGAAATCTGGGCTTTCTCTCAGACTCCCTTCTCCTCACACTCGGTTCTGATGACTTGCCTCCTGAATTTATCTAGCACGTTCTGTTTTTGTCCTCTCCACCCACACTGACGCTGCCCCAGCCATCTTTCTGCATAGCTCTCCTTGCTGGTTGAGTGTTCGTAATCGTAATCTCCCTGCCTACATTCTTCAGTCCCAGGGTCCATCCCACACAGAGCAGCCTGAACAATCTTTTTTAATACATATTTTAAAAGGTTACTTTCCTGTTTAAAAACCTTACTGGACTTTGGAAACGTTCTAGACTAGTACTAAAAGTGTTTAAGAATCTGGCTTCGGCTACCTTGAAACTGTCTTCTCTCCACACATCTTTCAAATTATTTCTAAAGCGGTTAGGCTCTTTTTTTTTTTTTTTCCTTTTTTTGGAGAGGTTTTCGCTATAGGGCGCATGTGCTCGCCAGACAGAGACAGAGAGACAGAAAGCGAGAAATCACACCCCATGGGGGATGGCCACGCCGCAATCCCTTCTCCTCCACTCTCCTCTCGGGATCTTGGGCACGCACGCACACGCACCCAGCGTGAGTTTGAGCCACCGGGTCCGGGACTCGAACTGCAGTCGACTACGTGGGAGTCCAGCAACACAGCCATTACGCTAACTGCTGGTCCCCCAGTTAGGCTCTTCTTAAAAAAATTATTTAACTTTATTTATTATTAGTATTTTCCATTTGATCAGACAGATGGGGGGTGGGGAGCAGTGAGAAAGCAAGCCAGCAGGTTCAGGACTTGAACCACCAGCTATGTGGGAGTCCAGCACCTTTAACCACTACGCAGCCTGCTGGCCCCAAAGGTTAGTCTCTTTCAGACACCAGGGTATTTCACCATGCTGTTCTCTCTCTGAAATAGCTCTCTTTACTTGGTAAAAATCCTAGGCAACTTCCAGGGCCCCTGGATGTCACCTCTTTTGTGAAACCTTTTAGGGATCTCTTAGCCTGTACTCCTCTTCCATTTGCTTCTTGTTTAACACAGCCTGTCTCCCCTCCCTTGCAACCTCTTTGAAGACTGGATCAAGACGTTGGTCAAGTTTATTTCTACACGTGATCTTAGTCAAATGGCGAGAAACTATCAAATTTATTTCTGCAAGACCTTGCACACAATAAAGGTTTATTGAACAAACGATTCCCTTGTGTGTTCCTCCTCCCCACAGGCAGGCAGGAAACGCTCTCTGGAAGGGAGGATGGACCGGTGGTAAACGAGGACGTTTTGACTCATGATTCCAAGGAACTGGGAGCGAAGCTCTCAGAGAGACTTCCGAGTTGGACCAACTGGAAAGAGATCCGTCTGGGTTGGGCAGGAGTATGGGGCGGACCCCCGAATCTTGATTCTCAGAAGGAGCTCGACCTTGAGGAGATCCCTAATTTAGAAGTACAGAGCTCCCAATTTCGGACTGAGACTGGCGTGGAGGGCGATGGTGCAGAGACCTCTAGTCTTTAAGGGTTGGTAACTCTGCAGTGGGGAAGGAAAGAGTTGAGCTCTGGCCCTGCCCCTTTCCTGGGAGGCTTCCATTGATTGGCTATCCTTGAGGAACGTCATACGGCCCCGCCCCGGCGCGCGCACCGCCGCGTGCCCACCCCCAGGTGACTGCTGCTGCAGCCTACACTATCCCTGCCACAGCCTGCCGCCCGCAGAGCCGGAGCGGAGCCCAAGCGGCGCCAGGCCCGACTTGGGGCTTCTGGGCCGCGGCGCCAGGCGGGCGATGCTCCAGCGGCCCGACCAGCCATGGAGGCCGAGGCAGGCGGCCTGGCGGAGCTGACGGACGAGGAGGTGGCGGGGCTGGGGTGCGGAGCGCTG